GTCTCCAAGACTTCAAGTGAAAGTGATAACCCAGGCTTGAATTTGCTGTTACACACAAATCTTGTTCACTGCCTACTCCATATCCAAACCTCATTAAGAAATTAGAAAAAGATAGGCAACACTATTGGTGAGAATGTGGAGAAACTTCTGGTGGGAGTATAAAATTATGTAATCATTTGGAAAAATTTTTGGCTGTTTCTTGTAAAATTAATCATATACCAGTACTGTGGCCCAGAAATTCTACTTTAGGGTATTTATTCAAAAGAAGCAAAAACATGCCCACAAAAGGACGTGCATAAGAATGTTCACAGCAATCTTATTCAGACTCTCCCCAAACATGTAAGAACCCAAGTATCCATCAAAAGACGTATATGTTATGGTATGATTCATGTAAAAGAATACTATTCTGTAAGAACAAAAAAATGAACTACTAATGTATGCAGGAACAAGAGCAAATTTCAAAAATATTTTGTTGAGTGAAAGAAGCCGGACACAAAATAATATTGAAGGATTTTATTTATATAAAATTCTAGAAGGGTCAGAATTTATGTTGACAAAAATAAGAGCAGTGGTTGCCTATGAGGGCATATGGTAATTTTCTGTGGTGATGGAAATGTTTGATATCTTGATTGGGGGAGTGGTTGCCTAGGTGTATATATCAAAACTTGTTGAATTGTACACTTAAGGTTAGGCATTTCATTGTATGTATATTTATCTCTATAAAAACCAACCCCCCAGTTAACTATATGCCATTATAGCAATGACCTGTTGGGCAAAAATTGTAATAAAGAACAAATAAACAAATCGGTGGTAATGTTAGACAGATTTCAAGGCAAAAGCATTATAAGACACATTAAATAAAGTAATGCATTTTGTATTGGTAAAAGGTAGAATTCATAAGAAATATTTCTATCTGGAGGATGCAGCACTGAAATATGTAAACAAAAATATTATAAATATAAGGGGGATTTGAGATGAACACGATAGCTGCAACTCAGTAATTGACAGAATAAGTGGATACAAAAATGATATATAAAATTTGGATGAGAAAAACCAATGATGTATATTCTCTGCCCTACAGAGACAGTATTCATTGTTTTCTGATGTCCACATTAAACATTTATAAAATGTGATTATATTGTGGGCTAGGTTAGAAAAATTAATTTTCAAAAGCAGAAAATGTATAGGCCACAGTCTCTAACTATAATACCGTAAAAATTTGAACTTGATTAAAGCAAAAAAATCTAAACTCTTTAATAATTTAAAATACACTTTCCTACATCACTTTTTGGGGCAAAGAGAAAATGAATGCATTAATAATAATAAGAACTGGTCCTAAAAACTTAAGGGTATGGCCAAAGCAGTACTTAAAGCAGATTTATTGCCTTAAACATAGTATTTTAATATTAAATGTGAAAAGGGAAGAATTAAATGATTGAAAAAATAAAAAATAGAGCAACAAATACAACTGAGGATGTAGGAAACAGAAACTAACAAAGTTAAATATAAAAATTACAAAATTGGTAAACATAAAGTGTGAAATGATAAATTCAGTTAGTATGTTGAGAAACAAAACTGAATTAAGGGCAGCTAAGGAAAAAGAAAGGAAAATCAATACAACAGTAAGATTGGAAATGGGTATGCAACCACAGATATGAGGGACATAAGAAATCACAAGAGAACCTGATAATACTCCTTTTCAAGCTAATGGATCTGAAAGTCATGATAAAATAGATGATTTTCCAAGGAAAAAACAAAATTTTAAAATTAAAGAATATCTGTGTATACCAGGACCCATACAAGGAATTGTAAAGATTGTCAAAAATGTATTCTACCCAGAAGACAATGGACTTTGATGATTTTATGAGTAATTCCTGGAAATGTTCAATGGTTGTTAAATATTTTAGATATAAGAAATATACAGAAATCTCAATTCATATTTTTTGAATCAGACGTGATACCTAAACATGGCAAAACTAATGTATACACACAACTGTATCAATCTCTATAGGGATATTAAAAAATAATTCTTATACTATGTTAAACATATTATACCATAACCATATAATGTAGGGCTTATATCTGGGATTTATGGATAATTCAACATGAAATTTATTAATATAATTTATTACATTAAACAGACAAAAAGAGGAACAAACATGATACCATAAAGGCATTTAATACAAGTTACTACCCATTACCGATATAAAACTCTTAGTAATGTGAGACCAGAAGGAGATTTTCTTAACATATTAAAGCCTATTTATGAGAAACTAAGAATATACTTTCTTTTTTAAAAAAATATGTTTTTATTTTTAGAGAGAGAAGGGAGAGGGAAAGATAGAAACATTGATGAGAGAGAAGCATCGATTGGCTGCCTCCTGCACACCCTCTACTGGGGATTGAGCTTGAAACCGGGGCATGTGCCCTGACCAGGAACCCAACCAGCGACCTTTTGGTGCACAGGATGACAACCAACTGAGCCACACCAGCTGGGCAAGAATAAACTTTCTTAATGTTGAACCTTAGAAACATTCCATTAAAGGTGGCAAATATTACTGAAATATTTAACATTATTATGGGGGTTTCTAGCCATTGTTTTAAATAGAGGAAGAGTAATTAAGTATAAATATTGGAAAGGAAGGGACAAAATTATCATTACCTAGAAAATATTTAGAAGATATAAGTTAATCAAATGACAAACTTTTAGAGCTAATTTGAATTTTTGGTAGGCTCTTTGGTTAGTGTGTGTTTGTCAGTATACATACATATATACTACATCATATGATATATACCATATCATGTGCTATCCCCTCATATATACATACGTTTTTTATCTATACACATGTACATATCTGCATGTTGGTTTCACATGCATATATGAACCAACACAAACCAGCTAGAAAATACAATAGAAAACAAAATTCCTTTCGTAATTGCAATTAAAAAATATAGAGACCTTGGAGTTAATTTAGCAAGAAATATGCAGGATATATGAGAAAACTACAGAATTCCCTGAGGACAAAGAAGAATAAGTGGAGAGATACCATATTTCTGGATGAGAAAACTTAAAATTATAAAAATGTGAATTTCCTCCAAACTACCCTGTAAATTCTGACCAAATTCCAATGACAGGTTTTGAGAATTTGCCAGAATGACTCCAAAGTTTAGATGGCATTACAAACATTTTAAGGTACCAAGAAAAATATTTTTAATGTAGTGGAGGGTGACTTGCCTTATAACTTATTAAGACAATTATGAAGCTATGATAATTTGTTCTGCATAGAACTGGCTCAGAAATAGGCAGATCACAGGAACAGAATCAAAAGTACAGAACAGCCATAAGTGTGTATAGCATTACATATAATTAAGTTGTAAACTCATTTTAAATCAGCAGGAAAAACATAAAAAAAAAACAGCATTGGATGGGGCACTAGTTCACTTATCTTAGAAAAATCCTTTTGGAACTTTTCTCCTCTAATTGCTCTTCACAATGTCAAATTCATCTAACTTCCAATATTTTTCCCCATCCTCTGCAGCTGCTTCTAATTCACTTCATTGCCCCTTTGTCTAAAATTTCTTTCATATTCTCTTTTGGATCCCACTTTATCTTCTTCCTCCCCAATTTTCCCTTTCCTATATTTATTTCCCACCTGATAATTCTCTGCCTTTGTGGGTTTAAAAGAGAAGAGGCTGTGAATACTCAAGTGTTGATTTTTTTTTATTTTATTGATTTTTAGAAAGAGAGGAAGTGGGAGAAGAGAGACAGAGAGACATCAATTGGTTGTCTCCCATATACACCCCAACCTGGGGATCAAACCTGAAACCAAGGTATGTGCCCTGAGCGGGAATTGAACCCATAACTTTTTGATGTATGGGACAATGCTCCAACCAACTGAGCCACCTGGCCAGGGCTCAGGTGTTGATTTTTTTTTGTTTTCAGAGTTAAGTAAACTGTGGGTCATTTATGAACGAGAGTGCAGTCATTACAAATGAAACCAAGACAGGGATTTTTAGACTGCTGGGGTACTTGTAAGATGGCTCAGAAGCTTCCAGAGGTGGACATAGAGTAGGACTAGCAGACAGGGCATGAATTCCTAAATATCCTTTAACCAGAGCAATATTGGTTAAAGGTTCACATAAAATTTTTTTCAGGAAAGGTTACTGCTACTGAAAAGTTTAAAGGTTACCTCTTATAAAAACAGTTATATAATAAATATGTTCAGTAGAAAATAACATTTAAAAAGTAGCATGATTTGAAAATTAAAAATATATGGCTATGAAAAGCAGTTAATAGTAGTTCTGTCTGAGTGGTGGGAAGTGAATAAGTTTACTTACTCCTTTTGCTTATCTTTAAAATACTATATACTGGTAACATATTATTTGTTTTTATTTTATACCTTTTGGGGTATAATTTAGATCAGTAAGATGCACATATTTCAAGTGTACAATTTGATGACTTTCACATATCTGTACATCCATATGACCACCACACAGATCAAAATATAGAATATTTCTCAGAAAGTTCTCCCATGTCACCTTTCAAGTCAATAGCCCCATCCCACCAGAGATCACCACTATTTTGACCTAGTTTAGATTTGTTTTTGCCTGTTCTTAAAGTTCTTATAAATGAAATCATACAGCATGTAACTTTTGGGCCTGGGTTATTCTGTTCAACATATTTATGAGATTAATTCGTATGTGTGTATATTATTAGTAAGTTTTCTTTAAGTTGCTAGGTAATATTTCATTTTATGACAATATTACAATTTGTTTATCCTTTTGTTGGGCATTTGGGTTATTTACATTTTTTGTTATTAGGAATAAAGAGGCTCCGAACAATCTTGGGCATATACTTAGGAGTAGGATTACAGTATATGTGCTTCTCTTGACTTTTCAAATTTTTTCCAAATTTCTCTTCAAAGTGGTTGCATGAATTTACATTTCAGTGAACAGTGCTTGAGACTTGCCCATTCTCTTTTTTCTCTATCACTATGAAGTAAACAAGGCCAACTGTCCCCTACAGGAAGACCAAAACAGCCTGCGGTAATGTGGCAAAACCAACTCTCATCTGGTCCAGCGTCCACTCCAAGAGAAACATGCTGAGAGCAACAACAGGTCTGTGGGTCAGCAGTTGTTCTTAGTGTCCATGAGTTTCTGGGCTGCAAGCCCAGTCTTACTGCATAGAACTATACACACATATGCCAATGTCAATTTCTTGGTTTTGATATTGTATTATAGTTATGTAAGATACAACCATTGGGGCAAACTGATGAAGGGTACATAGGAACTCTCTGTTATATCTTTGTAACTTTCTGTGAATCTTTAGTTATTTCAAAAACTTAAATTTAAGTCTTTACAAGGTGGTTAATAGGATTCTCTTGGGCTGATTCCATGACGTCTTCCACAATTGTCTGAGTTGGGGCTTTTTTTTTTTTTTTTGTAAAACAAAATTGTAGATAACCTGACAGTGCAGTTGCTTTTCATAGTTTAACTATGAAGTTTGTTCCCAAGGAATTTTCTATTGAAGGCTCAACTACACATTCAGTGGTCTGTGTGTTTATATTGTGTTCGAGCAGCACTAAGGCCAGCCTTAGCAATAGCACGTGTGTACTGTTGTTTCTGGATCCTTGGACTCCATGCTAGGTACCACTTTTCTCTTCTCCATTTCTAGGCTCAATGCTCCCCAGCTCTGGGCAGACAGGACTGTGGAGTGGCCTGGCAATTGTCCCTTCTGACCTCTGAGGAGAAAATCCCCAAATGACCATGGGCACATGGGTAAGATATGCCCCATGGTCACATAGGGATTCAGTCAGCCTAGAATCCTTTCTCTTCCAGATCAGGTGGAGGGTGTCAAGGGATGAAGGGGGTGCTGCAGGGAAGAGGAAAGATGAACAGCCCCAGAGTTGCCTGCTCTCATCCCCAGAACCTGAGGAGCCCTTAGGTTGCACTGGAAAGGGAATCGAGGTCACAACTGGGATTCAGGTTGCTAGTCAGCTGACCTTAGAGGGGGAAGTTATCCTGGTTTATTCTGGTGGGCCCAATGTAATCACAGTGGTTCTTAAAAGGAGAAGAAGGAGACAGGAGATGAGAGTCAGAGAAAGAAAGATGATGATTGAGTCAGGATCAGAGAGATGCTTTGCTGCTGGCTTTGAAGATGGAAGAAGGGGCCATGAGTCAGTGAATGTGGGTAGCCTCTAGAAACAGGAAAAGGCAAGTAAATGAATTCTCTCCAAAGCTTTCAGAAGGGAATGCACCTTGATTTTGGTCCAGTGAGACCTATGTTGATATCTGACCCACAGAACTGTAAAATAATAGATTTGTGTTGTTTTAAGACACTGCCTTTGTAGTAACTTGTTATAGCACAATAGAGCACTGATGTAATAGAAAACTAATATACTCTTGCATTACATAAGGTCCCAGGGTAAGAAGGAGGCCTGGCCTCAGGAATCAGAGTAGAGTCCTGAGGCTGAGTAGTGAAATCTGAGACAGGAGGTGGTGATTGGGTAGGACAAGAAGCCCAAGGTTCAGGGGCCATGATCTCAGAGAGAACAGCGCTATGCCAGGAGGCATGGAGTAAAAGAGAGGTTCAGCTCAAGCAGTCAGAGAAGCAGTTTTGGGGATTTGGAGTACATAGGAGTAGCATAGAGAGGTGAGACTTGGGTGGGGGAAAGTGCATTTGGGAACAATGGGTTTACAATAAGCTGGGGAACAGAAAGGAAGTGGAAAGAGCACCGGGCTAGGAATCAAGAAGTCTGTATTTTAGTCATTTTGCTGGCCGAGCTTTCTGACACAGGTAAGTCTTTAAACTTCCTGGGCCTCCATTTTCCCATATATACAGGGTGGTGCAAAAGTAGGCTTATATCAGTTCATATGGAAAATAATACAATATTAATAAATAGTAATACAAGAATAAACCCTGTTTCATGTACTCACAACTTAAGCCTACTATTGCCCCACCCTTTATATGATGAAGGGCTCAGAGTATGGAGATTGCTTTCCAGACTGAAATAAATATTACATGATGTGGTGAAACCTTAGTGAGCAATGTAGGTGACCTAACTGTGATGATAACGTTTCCGCTCACTATGTCACTAGGTCAGTACCTTTGGGCACGTTTTAATGCAGTGCATGTAAATGACAATAGGATGTGGCTCCCCCCTTAGCAGATAATATCACTCCACTTGTGAGTGTCCACCATGTTGCTTCACCATAGAAATTATGACCGTGGCACATACGAGCCTTCCTGTAAGTGAAATATTTTGCTTTTACAGAGTTGTATGTCCATAATGCTTTTCATGGGACAAGTTCAAAGTCTTCACATACTGCCTTTCTGATTCCTTTTGGGGTAGACAGGGCATAGCCATTTAGAAGTTGGTCAGACAGAGAAGCACAGGGCTCTGAGTCCCCAAATCCCTCTTAATTCTTAAACATTAACTATTCCAGAATCCTGAAATACTGAATTTAGTAAAAATGTCTTTGCATTCTGTTTGCTTTGGTACACTTTTCAGTTTTTCACAAACCTTTTACTGACAGAGCATTGTAGCATCTGCCAGTGACAGGGCAACCAGAGGGTTTGGCAGCTTGTGGGTGGGAGTTTCAGGGTTTGGGGACTTGGCGGTAGTTAGATGGGCTGTTGGTGTGGGAGGATGGAGCTGTGTATTGATGATGGCCTTGGCTTTTCCCAAATCACAGTTGCATCATATGAGATAGCTGAATTTATGTTGCGCTTTACAAAAGCCTCCTGGGAAAAGGGCAAAACTGGCTTTAGTGCGTAAGAAATTTATTTATGGCAATCATGGTACCAAACTGAGACTGGAGACTGTTGAGAATCTGGACTGTTTTCTGGTGGAGAAAAAAAATAAATTCTATTTTACTTTTGTAAGTAGAAATCATATAGTAGAATCACTTTGTAGTGCAGTGATTTTTGAAAGTCTTGTCCTTTCCATAGGGCAGCAGGTAGGATATTCTTGTCATACTAATTCACTTCAGGATGGCTTCTCGAAAGAAATTTGAGGGAAATAAAAGAACAAGACTGAGTGGACAGAAAATGACCAGCTCCATGGGAGGTGGTTTGAGGATGTCGAGTATGGTTGGCCAGGTTTCTTATGACTCATTTGCACAGCAGAGCTGCATGACTGGTCCTCCTGGAAATACCGGGTCACAGCTTTTTGTGGTACTGAGATGACTCACAGAGAAGGGGCTGTAGGTCCCATCAAAAGTTTATCTGATCTGCATAAATGTGACTTATGTCTATGGTTTAATTTGATTTTTTAACTTGTGGTACCCTGATTTCTACTGATAAAATAAGGTTTAGTATGTATCATGTTAGCAGGAAAAGGAGTCAAGTTCAGGAGAACAGACAGCAGAGATGTGGGACTCCATCTAAAAGACTGGGAGGTACAAGATCAGGTATTAAGGTCAAAGAGTGTAGGTAATTAAAAATTAGGCCTAGCACAGCAAGGATAGAGCTTAATAGTTACAGATTTGAAAGCTGAAGTCTAGAACACATCTCAGAGGGTGGGCTACCTGGGATTATAGTTGGAACAAACCAAGACCTCTGACAGCAGTGCTACTTGAGTATGAGAGAAGGTAATTAATTCCCTAAGGCATTTATTCTTTTACCAGAGGGATCATTAAATACTTTTGCCTTGTGATCAGCAGGTTTCCTTCCTCTGTTACTTTCTTTTCTGTTAACTCTGGTAGGGTTACATAGAATTGAGCAGTTTTAAAAAGTTATTGCTAATTGGATAGGCAAAAAAAGTTTTTACTCAAGTTTTTACTTTTTGATCCTAAGTGGGATTTAACAACAACCCCATATATGTTAGCTATCTGCATTTCTCCTTTTGTGACTTACCTACTCGTGCTATTTGTAATTTGTTTATCAAAATTTTAGTGTTTTTCTTATGAAGCTGTGCATGCTCTTGATATATTTGCTTTTTGTCAGTCATATTTGCTATACGTATTTTTCTTTATTTGTATTTACCTTTTAATTTTTGATTTTATACTTTTAGGGTACATGGAATCAACAAAATGAAAAGCCAACGTATGGAATGGGAGAAAATATTTGCAAACCATATATCTAATAAGAGGTTAATATCTAAAATATACAAGGAACTCTTACAACTCAGTAGCAAAAGAAAGACAACCTGATTTAAAAAAATGTAATAAAGTCTTGAATAGACATTTTTCCAAAGAAGACATACAGATGGCCAACAAGTATCTGAAAACATGCTCAACATCACTAATCATCAGGGAAATACAAATCAAAATCACAATGAAATATTACCTTACACCTGTTAGGATGGCTGTTTTCAAAAAGTTGAAAGATAGCAAGTATTGGCAAAAATGTGGAGAAAAGGGAACACTTGTCCACTGTCGGTGGGATTGTAAATTGGTACAACCACTATGGAAAACAGTATGGAGGTTCCTCAAAAAATTAAAAGTAGAACTACCATAGGATCCAGCAATCCTGCTTCTGGGTATATAACCAAAGAAAATGAAATCAGTATCTGGAAGAGAGAGCTGCACTCCTGTGTTCACTGCAGCAGCATTCACAATAGCCAAGGTATGGAAACAACCTAAGTGTGTGTCTGCTGATGAAGGGATAAAGAAAATGTGGTACATGGAATATTATTCAGCCTTAAGAAAGAAGGAAATCCTGTCACTTGCAACAATGTGAATGAACCTGAAGGACATTATGCTAAGTGAAATAAGCCAGACACAGAAAGACAAATAGTTCCTGATTTCAGTTATATGTGAATCTAAACCAAAGAGTACAAAAACCCGATCTCATACCAAGTAGAAAGGGGGTTACTGGAGGCTGGAGCATGGGGGATAAGGGGAGATTAAAAAGAGAAAAGAAATTATAGTGATGGTTGCCAGGGAATGGCGAGAGGGTGATGGGGAGTTACTGTTTTATGAGCACATAGTTTCAGTTTTTCAGGATGAGGAGTTCTGGAGATGGACTGTGGTGATGATTGTGTGACAATATGAATGTACTTATTACCACTAAACTGTATATTTAAAAATGGTTAAGATACATTTTATGTTATGTATATTTTATCACAATAAAAAATCAAAAGAAGAAAATAATTGGAAAAATATGTTGAAACATAAGAAAAGAAGCAAATAAAATAAGGGACATGTTTAGATATTGCAGAGATTAAACAGATAACAATAAGATCTTATGGTGGGCAATAGTTTAGTGGTTCCTGACTGAGAAAGCTAAACATAGAATTACCATATGACCTAGCAATTCCACTCCTAGATATATACTGGAAATGATTAAAAATGAACTTAAAAAGGTATGTGTACACCAGTGTTCATAGCAGCATTATTGCCAGTAACTAAAGGTAAACAACCCAGGTGTCCATCAACAGATGGTTAGATAAAAAGTGATATCCACGTTCAGTGGACAATGCTGAAATTCTTATATGCTGCTACAACATGACGACTCTTGAAAACATTATGCTAAGTTTGAGCCAGACACAAAAGGACAAATATTATATGATTCCACATATATAAGGTAGAGAATAGGTAAATTCATAGAAGCAAAAAATAAAATAATGGTTACCAGGGCCTGGGAAGAGAGGAAGGAGGGGAGTTATTGTTGCTTATTGGGTAGAGAGTCTGCTTGATATGATGAAAATATTCTCGAAATATTGGTGAACATAATATTGTGAATATATTTAATACCACTGCATTGCACACTTAAAAATGGTTAAAATTGTAACTTTTAGATTATGTATATTTTGCCACAATAAAAAAATTTTAAAGAGTTTTTACTTTATTTTTTAATTTTTTTAATTTATCTTTATTGTTGAGAGTATTACAGGTATACCATTTCCCCCCCCCCAATTGATCC